CCCCCTGCTGCTTCAAACTCCTCAGATTGTTGTTCAGAGTCCATAGTCTCTCATGGTTCACCTCCCCTTCCAATTTCCCCCAACTCCCTTCTCCTCTCTAACTCCCCTTGTCTTCCATGTTATTTGTTATACCATTTTTAATTAATAGCATGATGTATGCTGTGATTTAGTTTTCTCAAAGCTAGTAGCCTAAGAGTCTCAGGAATGGTTGGGCCTGATTTTCAAGGAAGTAGAGTCCCAAGCTCCTTGGTCTTCAAACTGCGGATTGAGAAGCATCCACATTAAGCCCCTCCTGGCCTTTACCGAGGGAGAGGCACCAAGCATGTCTACAAAGGCATATTTGGAAGGGGCAGCGGGCTCCTGACCTTGAATGGCAGGTTTTCCATGAGCTACCCCAAATGCTGGCCAGTGTGAAGGACTGTCATCTGGGAGGCTCCTTTGAAATCTGGACAATTTTTTTTCCCCCACTACAGAATCTGCTTTGTTTTAGGTACTTCACAAACCTCTTGAAGATACCGTCCTGTTCTCATTAATACAATGATTCAATGTGTCCCTGTTGGCTCCGAGAAGGACTCTCTCCTACAGCTTGCAGGGGACTTAATGAGAGCGCAAGGGCTTTGCGAATCTCTCAGTCAATTTCCTTTCCTCGTAACCCTCCCTGAAAGATGCCGGTTCCCAGATCCAGTTGTTAAGGGAATTCTGTGATTCCTGCTGGCTGGCGATTCCGGTGACTCACAGAGCGACCTCCAGCAAGGTGTCTGTCCTACTCCAGTTCTGTTCTCGTCATTCTGAGAGGAGACGGACAAACAACCGCTCCTCTTGAGAATGTTCCTCTTGTACATGAGGATCGTATGTGACCTTTAACTTTATTTAAACGAAACGAAATTTTGTCCTTTGAACTTTGTGCACAGCCTTCCTTTCTCATCTACTCTAGGTTCTATTTTGGTTTTCACAAAGTCTGCCCCCTTGCTCAGATTGTTAGCCAGATGTTCATCCTGGGCCCTCCGAGGGGTGTTGCCAGACAACACGACGGTGTATTACACATTATGTGGCTGATGCCTTACACCAAAAGTTATTGCGGAAAAATTTCTGTAAGAGGCTCCGCCATTTAATCAGACATTGACAGAACCTTCTGGAAATAGCCTCGTGGTGATGCAACGGACAGGGTACTAGCCTGGGAACTGGGCTCTCTGTTTCTAGTTTGGGGTTTTAACCCTGTCTTAACTGCCTTGTGAACTTGTGTGAATGTTGCTCTGCCTCCTGGGTTCTCATTTCTGCAGGTGTAAAATGATGTGGTCGGAGAAGGTGGTTGCTAAGACTCTTCAAAAGGTAAAAATTCTGAAACCGAGTCTGGCAGGGGTTGGCAAGGTATGACCCACTCTTGGGCCAGATTCAGCCATGCCCTGCTGCAGGAGGCATTGAACAAGAGTCAAGACAGCCAAGGACAGAGCCAGACCCTTCGGCAGGAGGCCAGGATACACTCACAGTAGGGAAATGGTTTTTGTGTCTGTTGTGTGGGGACACGGTTTGTTACAGGGCAACCAGACCGGAGCCGAACAGGGAAATGAACCATAAAGCAGGCTAGTTGCATGATAGAAGGAATCTGAAACTAGAGGTGCCTTGAGAAAGAAAAGCTCACGGGAATTCTTAGAACTTTTGCAGATGGGCCTTTATGTCTCCACCGGCCATTTTAAGGGGGTGTGCAAAGGCCCTGGAGAACACTAGGGGTTCCACTGGATAAGTTTATTTCCTGCTGTGCATCTGTGTTCGCATCTGTATCCTTTTCCGTTCTGTTCCTAAATAAGCGGCTACTACTTAGCTCACGTTGGGTGGCTTACTTTTCCCTGCTTGCCTCTGATGAACGTATTTGACTCTGACAGTTTTGCTAATTTGGCAAGGGCTGGGGAAATTCTAATCCTGTTCTCTAACCTTCTGGCCATCCCTCCCATCTAGGAATTTAATGAGTTTGCTCTCTGCTCCCTTAAGCAGGTCAGTGATGAAAATGTTAAACAGAAGCAAGCCTCGGAAACGTGCATACCAATGTAGTCTTGAGTCCGGGGACCTTTCCAGCCCAGATGCACAGCGAATTTGGTACCTTTACAGTAGTTTGCATAAATGAATAATGCATAGAACAGGAAATATGTCTTAGAACAGCTTATGAATGCCCATTAGTCTTTCTCATTATTATCAGTTATTCTGAAGAATAAGAATTATTTTTAAAAAATTTTCCACCCCAGAAGGTCCACAAGTCAGACATAAGCTAAATGGATTTAGCTTGACCACTGAGATTTTGGGATTAAGGAAAGGTAACGATCGCAAACCTAGAAGTTGACTCTAAGTCAAGTTGGCATTTGGATGGTAAGGAGGGTTGGCTTAAGGAGAAAGGTGAATTTTCCGGGCTCTTCCAGTGTGTGTGTGTGTGTGAGAGAGAGAGAGAGAGTATGTGTGTGTGTTGTGTGTGTTCGGGGGTTCGGGGTAGAAGAGTCCAAACAAGCTAGAATTGTAGAATTCTGTCTCAGAAGGTGGTGTTCCAAGTGGGGTCTTTAAATGGATCTGCTTACTTGGTGTTGTTAAACTTTAGATCTGAGAGAACATAGTTCGAGAGGACATGGGGCAAGTTCAGTCAGAATTCAGAGACAGCCTCATACATTTGGAAAAAAAAAAAAAAAGCCTTCAGAAACAGTTACTGGTTTCCGGCAGCGGCTCACATCCCCCTCAAGGAGAATGTGTGTGAAGATGCCTCGTCAAGATGGCGGGACAGCCTGCCTTTCTTCAGGAAACCCATGTCTATCGTCTCCTTTCTGTGGGGTGGGGTGGGCGGAACCACGGGTGTCCCCTCTGTCTTTGTGATCCTCTGTGTCACTTTTCCATGGTTTCCTTAGTTTTATCAGAGTTGGGGCTCATGAGAAACTCACTCTTGTCACGGAGGTGTTGACGGCTGCTCTCAACTCCACCGTCAGTGGACACCTGACATTCTGCGCCATGTTATTCTGTTCTTAGTAATTCCTATAGCCTTCACCATTGCATGCGGATGGTTCAGGGCCACATTAGGGGTTATGGACATGTAACTTCCAAAACGCACCAGAAAAGACAGATTTTTAAGCTTGAAATGGAACCAAATTTTCAAAATGCGTAGAGAAAAAGAATTTGTTGTTTATGGTTAACGTAAACTTGGAGTCACACAATTAAAGATACAGATAAGCTAAAATGACTCTAATTTGCTTTTCTACAATCTTATTGTATGTTTATTTTTCATCTGAAGGAGACAAAAGACTTGGTTTTTTAAAGAATAATACTTTATCATATAATAATCTAGATCGGCCAGAATTAGCCAGGGATCAGGTATATTGTTAAAGCAGAATGGCCTCTTTGCAAAACCATGGGGGAAAAGTTAATGTCAGAGTGGTATGTCTTTCAAGATTCATTTTTAGGTTTCTAGAACTTTCTTCCATACCCCAGGCCTCCCTCTACCACTGCCTGTTGAAACTGATCTGTTCTATGGTCCTTTACTGCACAGACTTACTAGTTACCACCTAGGGTGCTAGACTAACGGGCAGGTTAAACTTACGCTCTTGGGAGGCTCCTGGGTTCTCCCCTACCTCAGTCCCTCCTCGGCGCTGACTCATTAGGCTCCTTTTGCTTTGACCTCTTAGGCCACATCCATTAAGTGTTCCATAAAGCAGCACCTGCTTTATTGTAATTCATCACGCCCTGGATGCTGGCTTTTCCCACGACTTCAACCTTTTGGCTCATTTACCTTCCCAGTTCCAATCACCTATATTTTAGGCTCAACCAGATTTGGGGCTATGTATGCTTTCCCAGTGCTTCCCAACTTAGGCAGAGTATTGCCCCTTCTTTATAGGTTTCTAGCCCCAAATATTCTATAAGCTCCCTAATTACAGAATCTAAAGTAGCAATGTCCATACTGTTACGATTCATCACCCCATGGGTTTGAAAATTTAGTACGTGCCTGCAATGCATGTATGTGTGTGTGTGAATTATTTATGTGTGCTAGTGCATGAAAGTTTTACATTTTAAAAATATATAGTAGAAAGATAAGTAGAAAATTTGATAATAAAATGATTGCAAATACAAGTTCTATCTTTTTCTCCAGGCCAGTGGGTTGCCTTGCATACTTCTCTTGGGAGACAAGTAACTTAGGCCATACCAAACACAATGCCAGCTCTGAGGTTATAAATTCATATACTAACTTTCCAGAAATATGTTTTACATTTGATCGCTTAAAGTTATAACTGGAAGGACTGGTTCTCTGATGGGCTCACACATCTTCATGTATATAAGGACTTCCTGTGCTTAGCTTCCAGCCCTTCTATATTTATAGACAAACTTTATGATTCCAATTAACTTGTTCACCTGGTATTTTGGGGGGTGGGCAAATAAGTTAAAATATAGATATTAATGAACGCATTTGAATGATATGACTTGATTCCATTTTTCTCATCCTTCCATGACCCTCTATAGCTCTAGTATGTTAGTGTATTCCCCCAGAGAAAACTTTCT